TCAAGTAAACCGGTTCAAGTCCAATTCAAGTCCCAGGTCATTGGTGTAAAAGTCCAAGTCAAGTCACAAGTCTTAGAACATTTTTTCAAGTCAAGTCTAAAGTCATAAAATTAATGACTCGAGTCTGACTCGAGTCCAAGTCATGTGACTCGAGTCTGACTCGAGTCCAAGTCATGTGACTCGAGTCCACACCTCTGCCATGAACTCATCAGAAAAGGGTTTCCTGAAGTCAAAGAGTAAGGCAGCTGAGGAGCCAATTTCCTAAAGATTTTGATACAACTGGAAATATTTTTGTAAGGTTGACACTGCACTACAAGAGCAATGCATGTCTCACTGTCTTACTTGATTTCTTTTAGTTAACTGTCATGTAGTTTGAGGATAGGCTAAATGCTAACTCATATCAATATTTAACACAGTACCTATCTTAAAATTAAAACTCAACTAATCTCTCTCTAATAGAATTTAACAAACAAACAAATGAAATAAATCTAATGGTTTAGTCAGGAGAATTCATGGTCTTATTTTAGTGTGGTAGCATATGAATATTTGCTAATTAGCTCTAGTTGTTTGGGGCATATGGATAACGTAATAAATAAGTTAATAAACCAGAACAGTGGACAAAATAAAATGACTTGATACTGCTAAAAAAGGAAAAGCCAACATATTGAAATTTACCGAGATAGGAACATAAATTTTCATGGAAAATTCCACAGCAACCTGACCAGCAGTCACCGAGATGTTTCAGCAGAAAACAGAAAACCAAATGGACTCTTTAGTGTTGCTAGAAAGGTCGGGAAACCATGGTTCTATAATGAACTGTCATTTAGAACCAAAAAAAAGAAGACATTTGTATTTTGGCAGTACTTGAAAGAACGCTGCACTTTCCGTCGTATAATTCTCTTTACTGGAAAATGCCAGCTGGTATACAGCAAAGGAGTGCCTTTATATTTTCATCTGAGCAGACAAACAACATGGTGCCACTTAGCAGAACCTCAAAGCCAGGCTGTGATGAGTCTGTATTTTGCTGAGGAGACATGTCACTTCAAGTGGATGATTGACGGTGCTTTTCTACACTCGAACAAAAATGAACTCTGAGCACTTGACTGAACGAATCATTTACTGAGCTTCCATTTGATCTTTGCTTTTAACTTGCAAACTAGAAGCTACTGGAAGTTTTAAAAAAGTCATTAAAGTTTCTAAATTGACTAAAATGTCAGTTTTATCCACAAATGGATTTGTATGAAATTTAATACAGATTTTCAAGGTACCCACAGAATTCTAGTAATGTTGTCACCTGACTTCATCTAATGGTACTAACAGATGTCACTGTTGCATGCAGCGTATTCAAAAAAGATGAGATGGTTTTACTAAACAGACCACTCTCAGCACAGATTGCACAGAGAAGTTAAAACACTTATTTAAAGGCTCCAACCATTTGTATTTCAGCCAAATTTATGTTGGCTGGCTTGCTTTAAAAACCCAACAACCTGCCAGGGACAAGATTCAAAAAAAGTCAATCTTAACACTTATCCATCAGCTCCTGTGGCATCTCATCAAGAAACAACACCAAATAAAAAATCTACCAGTCAATCAAAATCTATATGTAGTGGAAACTCACTAGCAGATACTCACATAAAGGATGGGGATGATGGAGGGGTCGTCCCTACGAATTATGTTGGGAACATATTCAGCCTTTGGGACCTTGGAAGATATCAGCTATGGAGAGAAGAAAAGCATGCAGATAGACTTTGATTGCACATATATTCAAACGTCATTAATCTATATGTTAATTTAATTGCCAGGAACTTCACCATGATTTTGGGAGGGATAAAGTCTTCTCCGTCGCAGGCCACTCTTTCCATTTCCCTCTCCTCCTCCCAGTCGGCATCCTCATCCAGCCCTTCATCCAGCGTCCCTGAGGAGGTCTGAAGCTCGCCACCTGGTTCACACATGGGAACAAAGGGCGAGATGAAAGGATAATACACAAACAAGATTAGTAGAGCGGGGTGCTCCATTTGAAAACGCTGCACCTGTTATTTTCTTTTCCCAGCACAGAGGGGAGAAATGGAGGAGTTAAAAACAAACGGCACACGACACAAAAGGACACAATAACAGGCTCCTTATCTGCCCAGCCAGATACAGACAGATACAACACAAAACAACAGGCAGATGGACGACAGGCCGCAGGATGAGTAGAGCTGTGCGGATGGATGGTAACAGTTGAGTAGTGGTACGCAGAATAAAGCATACTTTAAAAATGGCAATATAAAATAAAAAGAGACAGCATGTTTGCGTGACAGGGCATCTGTCAATCTGTGTTTGTTCTTGTTTTAATGTGTGTGCAGCCTTATTATGCTTGAGTGCAGTTGTCTGTGTGCTTACCTGTAGGTGTTTATACATACATGTGTAAGAAGCCAAGTTTAAGAAAGGCCTAAGGTATATATTGTATACCGTGTGTTTGCTTGTGAATAACTAAGAGAGCATGGACTCACTGTCTCTGGATTCATGCAGTGACTCAGGCTTGACGGGGGTGGGGTCACTCCACGAGCGGCTGAAGCTCTTGGCTCGACGATCGACGAAGGCTGATGAAGTTGGGGGGAGGCAGAGAATGACTCACACGCACACATATATACAGTCTCCAAAGGATAATCAAACCCAGTAATCAAGAGCTCTGTCTTATTGACCTAGCTTGTGAATCAGTCAATTCCATTGTCCCGGTTGGATATCAGGTCATGTTGCTTCATATTAACAGAACAGTAAGAGTTTACATTGTATTAGCAAATGGTTGATCATTTTTCAGTTTTTCTGTTGTCTTAATGATTCCAAGATAAAAAAGTCATTAAAATTAAAAAAGTTGTTTAAACGAAATTGCAGTAATGCACTTTTAATTTATAGATATCGTTATATACAATTTAATACATATTGATTTCTTTTATCAGTATTTTTAAGTAGTTCAGACTCTCTGCACACCTGATAGGTGTGTAGAAGGTAGAAAAGGGTTAAAAAGAAATATAACCTCCACCACACACTTTCTTACTTAACACCATTTCACTGAATCGTGCTGTTTCAGTGCAACTGACCTTCATCAGATACAAAATGATTATTAACTGTTTTTTAGCATTTATTTCACAGATTTTCTATGAACATACCCAAAACACAAGTATCTTTAAATTATTAAAGCATTACAGCTGTATTTTGTTTTGTTTTGCTTTATGTTTGTATTTTGTAAATATTTAAACCATTTGTAATAAAAATGTATAAAATCTCATCATCAGAGTCTTGAGATTAGCCTGGTGGGAGTTCAAACCAAGGACGCTTTTTTCCCTTAATGTCAAATAACAATGTGAATATATTCAGAGGAAATACTTTACACATTAAAAAAGAAAAAAAAACATATCAGATATTTCAAAAATAGCACATACTCAGAACTGCACAGCTAAACAAACACCACACGTAAACTAGCTGGGATTCTGTCTTGTTAAACAGAAATTGCCTTTCAGTTCAATATAGTGCACAATCAATATCATACAAATGGTACAAGTCTCACAACAATGAACAAATACAAAGACTGTCTAAACACCGCATAGCGATAAAATTACCATCAACTAGCAGTTTAAGGAATAATGTTTAGTATACTCTAACAAAATATATACACACGTCCACACTACTGATGCTACGTGCATAAAGCATGAAAAACATCAAATGAACATCCACTGTGATGTCATGGTACACACTCGAGAGCATGAATGCATGGTAGTGTTTTGACAATGCACACACATGCCAACAGAAACAAATGCAAAGACTCACTCTGGGCCTTCATCCTGCGACTGCCCACCATCCGAAGGTGCTTGCGAAAATTTCTATCAATTTAGAGAAAAAAAGAAGAAGACGAAGCATATTAAGAATATAAAAAAAATAAGAGAGAAAATGCTTCAAACTTAAAAACATACATAGAGAACAACAGAGCAGAAGATGATGGGGCATCTTGATTAGGGTCAGGCTACTGATAAATTACCAGTGATCACATCTAAATATCCAGTGGGTGTTTTGTGCATATGGACTGAAATTCATCTAGGGTTAGGAAGTGGGGTGCTTAACATCAAAACATTTCATAGAATTGTCACCTGTTTTAGCCACTCAAATAGAAAATCATTTAAAAAAAATCCATAACAACAAAAAAGTGGATGTTAATCGGGAATAGAGGACCAGGGTTTTAACAGTATATTTTAAAACGTAAAAGGATTGGCTCTTTATATAGGGTCTTTCTACTCTACCCGAGCAGCCAAAGTGCTTTATACAACATGTCTCGTTCACACAAGCACTTTTCCCCTTATTTCAGTGTTTTCTATCCAACATTCACACTCCAATGGATGCATCAGAGATCTACTTGGGGTTCAGTATCTTGCATCCAGGGATCAAACCACCAACCTTCCAATTAGTAGAGACCTGCTCTACCCTCTGAGCTACAGCCACTCCCCAACTTTCAAGCTACCATTGAAAATTACAAATGTCCAAAAGCTTCATCAGTTCACCATGGTTAATAATCACAATTACCTTTGTGTACTACATACTTCACTGACAGTGAGCTGGTGTTTGAGGTGAACCATTCCAGTTCATGGCAGATGTCCGAACTCAAAAGCTCAAAACAGTAAACAAAGTCTGCAGTTTGTTGTTTATTTTTCACAGTTTAGAAAAATCATCACAGTTTTCTTTGGATACATGATAAAATGGTAAAGAAAAGTTATTTTATTAAAATGAAGCAGACTTTTGCAAGTCTGCTTCATTTTAGTACAATATAGATTGTATTGTTTTTGCACGTCTTATCCACTGCAGATATGCAGCTGAGCTTCTTGGGGCTTAGACTCATGTCTATTCTTCTTCGTGCTTATGTGGATTCCCTCTGGTTACTCTGACTTCCTCCTATAGTCCTAACACATGCATGCTAAGTATAGTATAAAAGGTATATAAAAGTCTTTTTTATGAAAATAAATAAAAAATTGAGATAAATTCAATGAAAATCAGATGGGATCAAACTGTCCCACTGACATCCTGAAATATGTACAAAAGTTTTCCGGATTCCATGAAATTCTCCCTGCTGCTTTGTTCTCGTGAGAACTGAATGAACCCAGAATCTCTGTTTCTTCCTTCACTTGTTTAGAAACATTACAACATTCTCATAATCACTTGATGTTGACTCCATTTTTGACTCCAACAATGTGACATAGAGGGTTCAAACTGACACCATAAGTGCATCTACTAAAAATCTTGGAGGAGTTCAAATCACAGTCACCTCCACCTCAAGATCAAGCTTAGAGGTCAAGTTTTGTGAAAATCTTATGAATGGCATAACTCAAGAAGGAAGTCACCTAGGATTTTCATATTTATACCAGGTTGAGGGTGAGCATTGGTGGCCACCAGTATTTGTGTGTATATATATTTATTTATTTATTTATTTATTTATTTATTTATTTTTAATTTTTTTTTGTAGTGCATTTTGTGAGAATAAATTTTTCAATCATGTCTTAATTATTGTGAATCTTTTTAATTTTCTGCAATGTGCTCAGTGTTTAAAGGCCTTTATGCTTACAAAACCACAAAGTTATCTTTTGAGAATATGGTTAAGTTTAGGCAACAGCCTAAACTTAACCATATTCTCAAAGGATAACTTTGTGGTTTTGTTTGTGGCATTGGTTTGCTTCTACTTCCTAGAGGTTAAGCCATAGATTCTATTTTGTTTTGTGTGCCTATTTTGTCTTCCTCGCTGTTGGGTAGCTAAGGTTGCCTATCTAGCTTTCTGCAAAAATCACATCAAAAATAGGATGAACGGGTAAATCAGTGTGTGGACTCTTCTGCTCTATGTAGTTGAGGCACATGGTACTGTGATAAGGTTCACGGAAACTAATGAGAATGGGTCGCAACCCTATAGCTAATTATTTATAATAAGCCCCACCTCTATTAAAGGTTGTCTGCCCCATATAGTATCTGTTTTTGGTGGCACTGCACAACACTGGGTGCACCCCGGACAGGTCATCAATTTGATGCAGGGGTAACATAGCAAAAAAACTACCAACATAAATTTCTAGTTTCATCATGGCTAAATAGCAAAAAGAAACGTGCAAAAGCAAAATGCAAAGCTCACATCCCTACATGCACCATTTAAAGATATTTGAATCCAGAGCACAGTTGGGGGCAATCCAAAAACACCCCTGACATGTCAGTGTTGATTGCAGGAATGGTGAAGGCAGCGCCTAAAATAGAGAGATGACTCAGAGGAGAGGGGGACCCATCCGTCAGTCAGAGTTGTATTTTCATACTGTGTGACAACTAGCTTTTTAAATCTACCACCTGCACACCAAGATAATAAAGTCAAATTCCTGCCAGTATATGTATGTGTGAATTCATATTTCTGCAAATAAATCGCCCCTAACCTTCGCTTTCCTTCTGTGACCTTACAAAACACTTTGCAAAATTATCCTCATTAAACCATGAATAATTTAATTTTTGAAACTAACTGAGATGTACCTTTCTATTAAAAGCATTGCACTCTATGTGACACAGCTCGGTATGCACGCACGCACACACACACACACGCACGCGCGCACACACACACACACACACACACACACACACACACACAAGCTCATACAGCATATGGAATGTCTCAGCCTTGGTGGATGTGAGGCCCGTTGCCAAATATT